GTAAAGAACTTACTGGTCTACGCCAATGTAGCCATTTGGGAATAATCCTGGATAGAAATGAAAAAGTAGCACTGAAACTATAGCTATTGCTCTTATACGTTGTAGATCATCCCGAAAAGCCATAGCTCTAAAATAAAAGAGTGATGAGACAAATGCTGATGTTGAGTATGGTCGCAATTAACCTTGACTGGCATTCAGCCTGGATGGCATCACTACTGGGTGTCTCTTCCATAACGAACGTAATGTTTCGCTCATTAGCAGCTGATGTCATACCTACGTTTTACTGCATGATTTAATTGGTTGGTATTTCAGGTACTTAATATCTTTAAAACCAAGCTTATGGTTTGCATGAAAACTCAGGAGTAAACTGGAACTCGAAAAACAAAACACCACTTTACCTAGGAGATCCACTAAGGCGAAAGTATCGTTTCGAAAAGATGGCACATCGCTCGCATTTATGTTTAAAGGTGGAAAATTAGGATTATGAAGAGATTGATTAAATTTATACTATGCTTTGATTATATTTTTTGTACCAAATTTTACTAGCATACGCAAATTTGAAACTGGGTTACGACTTACATGAATTCAAATTCCCTAACTAACATATGCTAAAATCTATTAAAAACGTAAAAAGTAGTAAGACCACAGAAGACAAGAAAAAATTGCAAACATCAAGGACGTCTGGTTTCTCCTTATGATTACTTGAAAACTGTAACTGAAAAGTCCTCGTCACTTTTGACTCTCTTTAATATGTTTAATTTATGCGCTTTATCGGAATAGGTTAAATGAAAGGGAGCGAACGATAAAAAATGGTATAATTTGAGTTAGAAACATTAAGACGCATATTCGCAAGAAACCTCAATTTTCAACATACTAAAGATCTGTAATTAAGATGTACAGAAAGCATTAATGGTTTTATTCATGAATGAACTACGAGCAACTAAAAAAGTGGAATACCGAATGTTAGATGCGTGTTATACGCATCCTTCACCTAGATCTGCAACCAAGTTACGCAGTAGATGTTGCCAGATAGCATTTAATGGTTCTTGCGAAAAGAAGAGGAACTTTGCAGGTGACTTAAATCTGATCTCATAGTGACGAGAATATA